TTGTCTCTTTTACATCAGTGCCAAAGTTAAATGATAGCAAATCCCAGCAAACAAATTATTACTTGTAATTGTGGGGTCAAATCATCAATTAAAAAAATATTAAGTAAAAAGTCATATGACACTATGTACAGAATGTATTAAATATATATTCAGATTGTAAAAACATGGTTGTATTTCAGGCCTGAAACCAGCTTTCAAGAAGGTTGACTTTCTCAAAAATTTGAGGGGGGGGGCATCATATTCTTCTCTCTATGATTAGTCTCAATCCAGCTTGGATTCATTCGTTAAAATATTGATTCAATTTTGAAAATTTTGGTAAAAACAAAACATGCCAAAATTGTTGATTTTACAACTCAAGTGTCATGGTAAAAACATGACATGTCCATGAAAAAAACAATTACCAAAGCACTTATTACCACAGAAAATCATGGTAAATATCCATGGAAGATTACCATGGGTATCCATGAATTTCCATGGAAAATACCATGAAAAACCATGAATTTCCATGGAAAACCATGGATTACCATGGACGCACTATGGAATACCATGGTTACCATGGCTTTTTTCTTAAGGGGTACACATATGATGGATGCATCAACGTGTGACCTATAAATATCAATTCGTGACCATTATAGAATAGAATATTTATTGAGTACATTCACACCCCTGAGGGTCAGGTACAAGAAAGTGCAGTACACAAAAATAATATATATGATTTAACACTAGACTACTATATACTACATATAATATATGCTTAGGGGAACATGGGGCAAAACGGCCCTCTGGGGCAAAGTGGCCCATCGAAATATCTTTTGAACTATAAAAAGATTGTTCTTCAAAAGTCACAAAATCGAATTTTGAAATATCTGCCACCTTCTCGACCGTCCATTTTTAACCAAGCAGCGTCTCGCTTTACGTAAGAGGTAATTCTACTTTTCACCCTCTTTTTTGGAAATTACCCCTCTCACGAGAATCTCTAAAAAATCCGGCAACAATAGAATATCGTTTTGATTTAACATTTTACATAGAGTGTGCACATTTATTCTTTACTTGTAAAAATTTCGAGCTTCAAATATTAGGCAAATTAAAATGACGTCTATTTGAAAATTCACATGTCTTTGGGGCAAAACGGCCCACACATGTTATAACATACAAAAATCTTATTGTGCAAGAACAATTGGTTTTCAAATGTAACAATTTTAACATCTGGCTTGTGCCTTATTTCCTTCCGACACATATCGAATGACTAGAATTATGGTAGGGGTTAAGAATACTTTATCTGTCAAAGGTTTGAACGTCTGAGATAAGATGTTTGTGGTCGGGTCTTGTAATTGATTAATTATAATTATTTGGCTTTCGAAAATTAAGTTGGAAGTTACAGTGGTAGGAGATTACCGAAAACGTCAATCACATCCAAATATCCGAACGACGTCAAGTATTTACAATTCACTTTTCGTGTATCTCGAACAAGGCAATGTTCTGTGATCCAGCAATGTGCATTCCAATACTTCACTAATATCAACAATTTTACATTCGAAATTACAACTTTCAAAATATTTGCTTCAACCAAGAATTGTAAAAACTTGAAAGATGTTGTTAGTTTTTCAAACCGCATATCCTCATTCACGTTCTTAATTTGACAGGGATGAATCCATTTGAAAACATGGATTTTCTTGATTATTCTTCAAAAATACCCTTGAAAATATGTAGGATATTACAGTGTAAATTGACACGCCTTTGTTCGCTCCGTATCATGAAAAAATAAATGCAGTACCATCTCTCAATATTCGAAAACATAAATTCCATTCTATGTGTAAACAAAAAAATACATTTATGGTTGGTTCATGATAAAAAAAATTATAAGCATTTATCTTTTGAAGTAGGGGTATACAGGGACAGAGAAAAAATTCAGAACATTATGCCATATTTTAAAGATTGCTTCACCAATATGTAACAGAACATCAAAATTATCATTTGTGTTACTCCCTAGATCTGCTTGTTGTGAAGTAAACATTCTCAGTAAATATTGATGAACATACGAATTTCGAATGTTGACTTACTTAGTGAACCTGACTGATATACCATATCTACTATATTTACTGAATCTCGTTTTTGTTGAGACAAATATTATGTTTTTTAAGAAGAACAAGAAGGAACATGTGCAAAGTCATATTTATAATTATGTAAGTGTTGTCTCCTCATCATCCAATCGATCAATCATATGGACGAAATGTTTAAATTTTTCGATTTCAAAATCATAACGAGTGAATGCAACCGAAACATTTACTTTTCCCGACTGGGCCCATGTTGCATTCGGATATTTTGATTAAGCCCATAAACAGTAGATGCGTTTGGAGTGAAACCATATACCATACTGCGTTTTGATTGAGCTACCATTTGCATTCATCTGATCTAGATTGCTTAAGATAGCTTCAATTATAGGTTCAGAACTAAATTCTGCACTCGTGATATCATAAGGGGCCATATTCCACGCGTGTAATTTCCATTCGTGTGTTTCACTGGGTATAAAGGGACACCGATTTTTTCTCAGGCGTTTGTAAAGATGGAAGCATTTAATTTCGATGGCATCATCCAAAATCGAGGTGTTGAATTTCTAAGGAAATTGTAAACACCAGGTGCAAAAACGCATTGAGACTAACTGAGAGATGACTTTTAATTTTAAGCAACCTTGATTAATTATTACTCATATTTCAATAAATTGCCTGTAAATCAAAAATAGTCATGGAACATATATACCTGAAACGTTTTGTATTGACAGCTCGTATATAATTCGCTAAAACAGATAGATGAAAGGCTTTTAGAACGCGCTAGACATATTTTGAAAAAGGCAATAAAGATATATGTACCTAAACATTACGTAAAAAGCTAAAAAATATTTAGAAAATGGACATTAACAATGAAGACAACAAATGTTTTTCTAATGAACGTTTTTGTATCAAACATAGAATGTTTAGGATTTCAGACAATGCCCCCCTCTCAATTATGTATCAAACATTTTAAATTTTATTGTATAACGAAAATGATCAATCCTTGCTGCCTGGATATTGACATTGCTTGACCCGCCCTGTGAAACAAATCAGATAATCATATAGTCATATAGTAGATTAAACTGATTATTTCCAAGAATAATTCAATTTAACCACAATTAAATAACATGCTTTATTTTGATGGTCAATAGAATGACGGTTTAGCGAAAGCTATAATCACTTAGTCCGAGGGCAACTAATTAACTTATTTTTTCTTCTGTCATATACATATTCAATCGAGAAATTGCTTTGAAATACTACACTTCAAATTAATATATTTATCCGATATTAAAAGTCTTAATCAATAGGCGGTCAAATGATAAGGTACTTTCGATAAAACCTTGTATATTTGACACAATAATCGCATAATGCTAAGTAAACTTTCTTGAAAACAATTGTTACATATCATTAGATTAGAAGATCAGTAAATGACTTCATTTTAATGAACATAATCGCGCTGTGAAGTCAACATACTTTGTAAGAATCATAAAGCAGCGCATACAGTAATGAATATGAACACGCACTTATCTATCGTCACATTTTAGAAATGGCCACATTTTATCTGGATCCAGCTAAGGTTTTTGATTGTTGAGGTACTGAGATCGATCGAAACCAGGCATTGTTTTTCCTGTAGATTTTTGTTGCGTTTTTGTGTTTTGTGGTCTTTGGCGGTGGATTTGCGGACAAAGGTCGATCCTTTAACACCCCGATGGAATTTGACCTTGGTTATTGTCTGTCCCACATTATTTGAGACCGAATACTCCATCTGTTTGCTTGATTTAGGATGTGGGTCGTCTTTCCATTTTCAATTTTTCATAGATTTTAACGACTTCAATTCGGGGTTCTCATATGACTGAATTTTGTCATATTTTCACCATTTTAGGACAAACTGAGTAAAACTTGATATAAACAGCTTCAAATATTTAAGGATTTAACCCCTAAAGACTCGGTGCAATGTGGAGTGACCACAATAAATATTACCCAAATTAAACTATGAATATTCAAAAGAGGACATTTAAATCTACAAGATGTAAAAATATCAAATTGGTCTGGAGCAGGGATAACGCTCAATTAGACCGATTTTAATAAAATACAAGTCTCGATTTGGGGAAAGAAGTTCATCAGTGTACTGCGCTCATATTTTTTTGAGAAAAATCTAGAAATATTACCCAAATTAAATTATAACTATTCAAAAGAGGACATTCAAATCTATATTATTTAAAAAAAATCAAAATTGTCCGAAGCAGGGATAATGCTCATTTAGATTGATCGAACTTCGTTCTCCAAACCGAGAATCGTCCTTTGCATCAGATGCGCAGCATCGAGTGTTAATTTTAAGAAACGAGATCGCTAAAGGAACACATTTTCAATGAAACGTTTTGCAAGGGTCGAGTTGGCAAAAAGTTGTAGAAAAAGCATGGATGTTCAATAGCAGCAGTGCATTTGTTACCACATTGTTTAAACCAGTGATGTCACAAGTAAACATATCTTGCACGTGTGACTTTTTAGTTTTAGGATGAAAGATGGCAATATCTTGCATGGGGTAAAGATGGGTGTATCTTGATTATTCATCTGAGTAAAATTGTCTCTGTCCGGTAGGAGAGGAAGTGTTAGGCCCTGTGTGTACATCATTATTTGGAATGCTTGGGCTTTTGTTTTCCAATTACTGAATGTAATCTGAAATGTTACTTATTGTTGTCGTCTCATTGTAATTTTTATACATTCTCCTCAAATATCATATTTCAGTGCTGTAGTACTCTGTACAAAAATCGTCATTAATCTGCACTGGTTTTTGCTCATTTGATCAGAAATATTACCATGCTTTTCAATGTTCTGAAATTGGGAAATAATAACGTTATTGGTCGTGGCCCTTTATGAAATAACGCACCAGCGCTTACTCGAGGTATCATGTTAATTGTCTCGCTGAACTATACATCTCACCAAGGAATCATTAATATAACATGTAAAACAGGAGATGGTAGAACAATTCTATGATTACATAATAATGATACATTTGCATGTTGATCAGATTCATTAATGATTTAATTTCCATGTACTAATATATCACCATTCATAATGGCCAGTGCACACGGACCTGCAAATACATCAACGGTTCGGGACAGTAAGGAATGGTTTCAATAAGGTCCGCTAACGATCTTGTCTTCGGGAGAGTTTAAATGACAAAGTAACCTGATCGCTAAATTCATATGGAAATCATATATTCACCGAACACAGAAAGAGGTAAGTTAAAATAATTTGTAAGTCTCGAACACAATCACATATCCAAGAATATACCAAATAACATCCACTCTTTGATCAATGCGTTTTTCTAATATAGTAAAGTGTGATTACATATATAAATATACAACTTGCACTTGATGTGCCTTATTCAGTCATTACTAGTATGTCTTATAGAATTGTACCATATATGGTTCTTATAATTGATCATAACATTGGTGAACGTCTCCATTTTATCAAATGATAACATTGTGAGGAACTTTTTCACAAAAGTTAATTCTAGTGTCACACTGTCAAATGTGTGTCACTATAAATTTACTTTTAGGCCATTTTATTGTGAAGTAGTTGTACTGGTGAAGAAACTGTAAAAGTGACCATACGATTTGTTTTTAATTTTCTGTTGTTGTTTCAAAATATTCCTTTATGCTCAATCAATGCAAATGTGGCTTAAAAGTAAATTGTATTTCCATTTATTTGCCCCCCTGATTTAAACTATCCTACTTATTTTTTACATTCTTAGAATCCCCCACCTTTTACATAAGACTGTCTGTAAATGGCACACACATAGTGTATCGAAATGAATGTGATCCACGTAAATTAAGGGTGTAACAAGATCCGAGGACAGACATGATCTATGGACAGACATTTGACTGATATCAAATTGACATCTCGACCAACTTGCATCAATGTGTGTATTTCTGCTGATCTGATTAACGACTACATCGGTGATATATATGCATTATTTATCATTGCTTTACGCTTGCATGTAATTGGAAAGGAACATTCATTCAATGGGAGTGTAATAATGATATATATGAGATTAACACGACGCACATGGAGGTTATCCCCAAGATCAAAGATCAAGTTAACGGGTTACAAGGAACAAGCTGTTTTTCTTATTGAATTTTTTATTTCATCATTTTTTGTCATTTAGTTTTTGTTGCAGCAGAGATCAGATTTTCATCACTAGTGATTTTCTAATGTGGGATTTTGTCTTTCATTGTCATATAAATCGTGTCTATTATTACAAATTAGATGTGTTTTTATTGCTTTTAGATGTTTCCTCTTATGTTTAATGGTTCTACATGCATTAGTACAAGCCATTCAAAAAGTATTGATTACTATTGTTTTATATTTACATTGAGAAACAGGAAATTTAAAATGGGTAAAGCAACATTTTTACAAATTAAAGGATGTTCACCACTTGATTATGGTATGTAACAAATGTCACTGTTAGGAATACTCGAAGATTATAAAGGTAAATAATTTATTGATAAAATGGTTAAATAATGTCCTTTCAAAATAATTTTGGACCTGGCATTTCCAATGGATAAATAGTATAGTAAAATGTTCTGATAATTGCAAACAGGGATGTTAAGATCATAAACTACTTTTTAATTTGATTTTGATATTGTTTAACTTGCACGCAGAGTCTAAAATAAACTGAAGATGAAGCTCTCTTTTAAGACTGCAAATGGTAGGTATTGTTAAATGTGATTTGCAATGATTTGCATTTCATATTGGTTTGTAATCATCTTAGTTCTCCAGTATATATAAAGAAGTTGTTCTCCAAGAGGGGTTTGATATGGGGAAGGATGATATCAATATTTCGCAGTGAACGAAGGAAATATATTGATATCATCCGAGGGATATTCCTCATACCATCCCGACAGGTGAATGACGACCTTATACCATTGTCAAGAGCAATATCTACCTAAAGTCCTCTGTTAAATGATGAGAGAAAAAGTATTTGACTCTTTGGAATATTAAAGTTACATATTATCCCGCCCTAACGTGCATTGTGAATTTAAGAATTATAAAACATGATTCTTAAAAGAATTTGAAAAATCAAAATTATTTTGGAAAATGAATTTTATTTTAATTTACCAGGGATGATATAAATATCATCCCTGATATCATCCCTGTCCCAAATATGTGATTTACCGCTTGCTGTTATATATACCTGATATTGCTCTGACCATCCTATAATTCATGATATGTAGCAATAAGTTTGTGTAAGACATTCATTGGACAACAAATATTACAGCCTCATTTTTGTAAATGGCTATACAGTTGGTGGTGTTGCATACAGACAAAAACTGTCATTACATCTGCAACATTTCATATATCAATACTTTTAATAAGTTTTATGATTTTCTCCTTAGATGTCATAAGACATGCGACATACTGTACCTGTACCTCACTGTAGTACTTTACCGTATTGGTTTTCAATAACTTTTGGCAATAACTGTTATTCCCCTAAATGACTCTCATTCTTGTAAATTAAACCGATGCCCTAGATAACGTACTTTCGAAACAGATTATTAAAATATTGGCAATGAACCCTTTGGCAAAGCAATATGTTGATTTTACCATAATATCAATGATCGTCTTTCTCAATCAGCCGCAATCGGGTCGTTAACACAATTTGCATTCAAATTGTTTAAACTAAGCTAAATATGCACCTCAAATAGCAGGGAATCGAACAATACCAGGGATACAGCTCGTATTAAATATATTTGAGAGTTGATATGACAGTTATGGCATAGGGAGGGCAGTGCAAGCTTATCCAAAATCCGAACATGACTGTATTCATCCCTTCTATAAACTGTAAACAAAGTCAACATTTCAACCGGGGTATATTCGCGAAGAATACCCCTGGTTATACGTGTAATGGGTGACGTCATAACGGTGGGTCGTAGTAATGGCGGACCATATAAATGAATATTCGAAACATTTTGGTGAGTTTTCTTGTTCGAATCGTAATATAGACCTCAGAGCAGGGGTAATATCGTCGAATACACCCATTCGATCGTTCGGGGTACAGAGACGTTTGTGCCTATATAGCCCTAAGGTATTACCCCTGCCCTTCGGTCTATATTTCTTAAATAACGTTCCAATAATGTATTAAAATAATTATTCTAACTGTCAATGGTTTATTTACCCTTTGCATTCGTTTGACTTCACTTCTTAAAAGAGAGCTTCGTCTTCTAGTTTAACTAGACTCTGCACGCAGGGTATGGTTTATTGGGTGTATTGTCAATTGTTGTCTTGTATTATTCTAGACAGTAGCCTATTCAGGTAATATGTGAACCGTAACACTGCAAACTTGAATGAATATGGTGGGGAATATGGGCAAATCTAGTTTAACATGTCTAAACGCGTTAAGACCAGTGGACAAGAGTGGGCATGTCGAAACTTGTTTAAACAAGAAAATTAAACCCCATTTACCCCATACGATCCCTGGATGAATTGATAAAACATAGATAATTCAATGGGGTTTATTCAAAGAATATTGTTACCTAATTGTACAATTAATTACAACAAGTACATATAGTAAGCACGACATCCGAAGCAGGAACCCGTTTTTAGAGGAAGAATAGTCTTCCTTCCTTCCGCTATTATTGCCAGACGCACATTCGATAATAAACACTGTACGATAACAACGTTCATCTCATTCTGTTTATGTAATACTCATGAGGTCCATTTTAGGAAATAAGATGCCAACATTAAAGTGGCAAATAAGTATAGAAAGTTAAAAATTGAAATTAAAAAAGTATAGAAAGTTAAATTTAAGAAAGTTAAAATTTGAATTATCCTTTCCACACAAAAACAGCTTCGAAATAATTATCACCGCGTTCCTAAAATGATATGAATTGCACCGAATGCCCTATTTTTTCATGTTTTACAACATTCAAATCATCTTTGTATTGAAGCTTATCTCATATAACTGATTCTAGCATACGCAAAAGTATAAAACACTGAATACGAATTGCTAAATTATATGAAATGATGTCTTTATCAGTTATCATCTGAATGATTTACGTGTCATTTCTTTTTTATTATACATACTGTATGCCACAGTGATTGACGTTTTATTGAGGAGAAAGTCAAACGTTAAGAATATGTAAGCAATCTATCAAGGGGAAATCAGAGCTTTTAAGCAAACGCAGGAAGGAAAAGAACATCGAATTGCAGAATAAGATACAATATAAGAAACCAACCCAAAAATCTCAACATTGATCGAAACCGTAAAATATTTGTCACATGAGACATTTTCTCGATGAACTACTCTTCTGCTAAAACCTTTTGAATTTGAGCTTTTTACGCCGAGGTTTCTTGCAATAATTCATTCTTTTAAGTGATTCGGTATAAACATTTTTTTGAGATATTGTATTTGAGAAGGTCAGGAATAGACTGGTAGGTCAATTGTACATGTTGCATGCTAGTTTGTCATCCCCTTTAGATTTGATTCTGCCTTTAATAAACGTAGGGAAATTAACAAAAATGAGTCATGGCTTTTTGTCCCTTCAAGAAAGCCACTTAAAATCTGACGGAAACTAACAACATTCACTTTCAGCAATGATCAAATCATTATCCCATTAGCTTTTATCAAAATATCTTGATCTTTGAAATTTAAATCTCTTTCAAAAATGCATTAAACAATACAGCTGGGGATTGCTAAGTAACATTAGAATCTGCATTTTGATATAACCTGAACAATACTCTTTGGCCTTCGGCATTATAGAAAACTATTATTTTACAACTAAAAAGCTTCAACTCCCAATGGATCCAGAATACGAAATCTTTTATAGAATCATTACGTGCATCCGTCTTCACACTACATTTTGCCTTTAGCTGAGTTATGGCTATCTTGATTTTAACACGGTTGTATTAAAAATCACTTATACCATGATGGATGTATGCCGATTTGAAGTAACAAAACCAATGATAACATTTGTTTAGGGTTAGTTTGAAGACTTTCCTTCGAGATTTCTGCTGATTTTGGATTACTCGATGCCTTAGGAGTCCCTTGGTTACATGCGAAACCACGTAACTCCAGCACTTAGTAAACACTTGTCCTCCAGCGGCAATTTCAATGATATTTTACCATAATTACGATTCCTTTATGAATATAAGTGGTTTTCAATAACCAGATCTATAGTAAATAGAAGAAGATTGACTCAGTTAAATTGTGGCGATTGACATGCAAATAAACTTGG